TCAGTTGATAATTATAAGTTACTTTGACTTTACTTCTCAGATCTGGCAATGTGGAGGTCGAGTAGAAATCCTGCCATGCTCCCATGTTGGGCATATCTTCCGTCATGCTTCACCCCATGACATTCCGGGAAATTCCTCTGGAAAAGTGAGTCATTCATCAATGTGTCCCTTCCGTTAGCGCCTGACACTGATCGCTCTTCAGGTCCTCGACGGAAATATGGTTCGCGTAGCGGAAGTATGGATGGACGAATGGAAATTCCTTTTCTACAAACTAGCCCCACGTGAGAAATCGCCACATTTTTGTGAAGCTTTTGAAAAATCCAGTTCATTCGAGCGAGGTTGTTCAGAGACAGGAAAACTTCGAAGTGTCGTGGATCTGAGTGAGCGCCTTGAACTTCGACGTCGTCTCGGTTGTAAGAGCTTCCGATGGTATCTCGAGAATGTGTTCACCGATCATCACATGCCAATGGAGGGTGACTTCTTCGGACGGGTACGTTATTCATAACCACATTTATTATACCTACTTTGTTGGTGCGGGTTGGGGTGGGGAGAAGGAGGTCACTGCCGCCCTACCCGTTCAAGATGTGCAGACCAATTTTTTGAGCAACATCTTGAAAAATCAAGCTCACATTTCAACAGAGAGAGTTGGAGGGAGCTTCATTTTTTTGAAGGTTTTCTAAGATAGTCTGGACGAAGTCAGGACTCATTGCCCTTTCCTCATGGTACCCTTCCTTGTTCTTCGCTACCCTGAACAAAGGGTCCCACCACGAGGAAGAGGGAGTTGTGTAGTCGAGGTGATCGGCCCATACGTCTAGCGAGAAAAGTGCCTTCATACCTTCTCTCACTGGTGCAATTCAATCCTTTCACTTAGAAGTCGAAAGGAAGTAATTAGGAAGGAAATCATTGAAAATCCGCGTTCCTGACACCAATTGATAGGGCAGACACCAGTGCAAGGTATAGTTTAGCTTTCCAGAAGAGGCTCATAGATAGGCTTATTGCTATTTAAAGCTATTGTCATTACTTTGATGGAAACTGTGTCAATATTATGGTACATATATTCAATCAAAGATTAAAAGATGGAAAATTGGGCGTTGAATTGTCTCTTCTCGGGATACACCATGTATTCCACTTTACTTAAAGGACGAATTCACGCTGGGAAGGCAACCCATTTCAAATTAACTCAGGGATGGTGATTGGTACACGAAAGAAGGAAGAACCATGAGAAACGGCCCAGAACCCGAGAAATGGGACCCCTTCCTTCCCCGCTGATTTGCGCATTGATGCGACTCTTATCGCTGTGCCCTCCTCAACATCACGCTCTCTCTGCTATCTAATCAATCCCACGTATAGATCTGCGGCGAGTGATCAGCTGGTCGGTGGGCGGAGATCGCCAGCTTTGAGGCATGATAGGTCGCCGAGGTCAAATTTTTCCATGCGAATTGCGCGTCAGTTCGCACCCTCAGGAGGTCCGTGGGTCCCTCAACTAGGTCAGTAAATTACTTCTTCTTCGACCTTCATTCTAATCGTGAATTCCTCCTTTAATAAACCTTCGTTGAAAGCGAGGTTACGCCCATATGAGTTGAGAGAAGAGGGAATAGTGGGCGGAAGAGGCAGCCGATGTGCAACTCAGTCGGTCGCCATCTTCGTTGCCAACGCTATCTCTGCTTAACAGCTGGAGACCTGCGGCGAGTGGTTAGCCGGTGGTGGGCGTGCCGCGAAAATTTGGGCGCAGGGACGATCATGGTACATAGCCGGGCTATATCCTTGAATGGGAATTACGTGTCGGTCCATAGGGGCCGCTTGTCTTTATGTTAGGTGAGATTTCCTTGCTTCGACCTTGTTCGTGGGCATTTTGGTGAAGTAACCGGTCTCTGTTCCGCGTTCAGTGAATTACGGCTCAATGAGGAGGTGCAGTATCATCTCAAAATTTTAATTTTGAAAGATTAGTAAATTTTGATAGAAATGATGTGAAAAAAAAATCAGAGTTCGAAAGAAGCTTTAGAATAACCACCCCCATTTCTTTTTGAAGACAAAGTAAGCAAATAAATACAGATTACGCTGAACTGCTTCAGATACATTTCCCAGCCGACATATCCAACGCAACTTGTGTCGCCTGGACATTTGCCATGTCCGGCATCAAAAAAGTCACTCAAACTCGTTGCACGGACAAGACCGACAAAACGCAGGTGAATGGTTGAAGACTCGCAATAACGATCGCGTTGTTTTCAGATTTCATTAGACTTCAATAACGTTGGTGGTTGGTGTAATACGGCCAGAAGAGCGCCGGAACTTGAGAAACAGTGGCAGCTTAAAATGCGGCAACCGTGGACGTTTGGGAGTTGCGATACTAGCAGAGGTTTTCGTGTCATGAGATTTTCTACGACAAACAAAGCGAATTTTTCAAGCGTACAGGGAGCGGTGGCATTAGGGTCGGAAACAGTTGTAATCTCAAGAATTTGGGGGAGGGGGGGGAGCGGGTAAGCGTTGAATGCTTGGTCGGGGTGGATGTTAACCAACTTCAAGTCTGCGTGCAACGTATCGAGCCAGCGCTGTTTCGGGCGCCCCTTGGGCCGCTTTCCGTGCACGTCTATGTTGAGGCCGATCTTGCGAACACTGTCATCATTTCCGCGAAGAACGTGGCCAAACCAACGAAGCCGAGCTTCGCGCATTTTATCAGCAATGGGAGCTACACCAAAGCGTTCTCGTATGACATCGTTCCGAGAATGGGAATTGACTGATTAAATGATGAAAACTTCTCTTAGTAATATCTTAATTTTGTGACATTTTCCCCGAATTCAAACTCGCATTGGGTGAGTGTGGTACTCAAGCGCGGAAAAGTACGACATGAGAGAAAGATGCCTTAGTGATTTTTTCAGTTATATGGATCTAACACCCCCCAACAGGCTGGACATCTGAACATCCGAACGAGCATATGTGCCTTTCGGCTACTCAGGTTGTGCATACAAATGGAGAATGGGCTGTCCAGCTAAAGGAGTGCGCCGGCTATGACATGGAACTTTGGGAATACAATTAGACAGGTCAGCATACTATAGAACAAAGGGGATAGAAAAAGAAGGGAAGAAAAAACAGAAAAAGAGGGAATCACAGAAATCTCTGAGCACGTGAGGACGAATGGTACTTCTTCTCTACATGGGGAAAATATCACATATTTCCGGTATTTTGTGTCTGCAGGGCTCTGCAGAGTGATTTATTTCAAAGGGCTTTTAGTCAATATTTTACAATCTCACCGAGTCTTCCAATTGTTCAGAGACGTCCTAGTGTGTTTGCACTTTCCAAGGGCATCGTCAACGTCCTTGCTTAATCAAGCGAGATCTAGATCGAAAAACAAGAAAATCTGTCGCCGCCAATCATCACATCTTGTGCTCGCGGCAGTGAACAGCAGGTAAGTAGCGAAATTAGGGATATGATCGCTTTCAAATTCATGAATACAAAAACGTAGATGCCCTTAACTTTGTATGCAAAATTCATGTAAAGGTCCAAAGTTTATTAGTGCGCCTTACTACCTCGCACCGCGGATCTCATAACCACATGAGGGCCCATGATATTGGGCGCTATCGCAAGACAGGGGAGCATTCCCCGGGAATAAGTCCAGGGGAGGACAGGAGCTCCGGGAAAATTGAAAATTCTCGCGAACTTTGGAGCGCCGCTCTCCGCCCGCGCTGAACTCTTACGTTAGTGTCGTTTTGAACATGAAAGAATTTTTTATGTGGTTTCGAGTAATGCACTATCCCATAATGCCCTCGTTATATTGCGACAGCGCCTTGACTTGTTCGCAATAACAGCTGTGAATTAGCCAAGAACGCCTTTACCTACTCAGGAACCGCCACACATTTGTTGACATTCCGGCAAGTCTGGTACTATAATAAGGTTTCCAGCGTGATGTCAGCTACTGGCAAAAAAATCAACAAGCTTGTCGAGTTAATAACCGTATTGGGTTGAATTAACCATTTTCCCAGGTAAACCACCCTAAATGTGAAATGGTCAAAGAAAACCGTTTTCGGAGACACTTTAACCAGGTTTTCAAAGTCCGCGTCAAGGCAGTGTTTTGCCTCTAACTCAGCAGCATAACAAAGCAAATCGAAACTGACAAAACATACCTAGTATGTAATAATTATAGTAATTTGTAGAGCACTCGCCCGGTAAGGCGAGAAGTATGAGCTCGAGTCCCGCCCGGGCCGAAAGTTTTAGTCATAACCCAGTATTCTTGTGAAATAACCAACACCCTTTTGCAATCTAGTGGTGCCCAAAAGTCCAATCTGCTGGAACAGCTAGAGCCCAAGAGCAATCGGCGGACGTATAGAGCCGTGAGCGCCGTTGTTACGGCTCTACTAGGCCACTAGAGGCACATATGATGCTGAACGTGCATCTTCTCGCACCCTTAGGAGCTTGTTTTCCCTCTCTAGCTGGTTATAGTAATATTGTCACAAAGATGCCGAGTATGGGAAAAGTGCCTGCTAGTACATATGTGTGTATGGAAGTGCACATTTTTCCGAAAAACGAGACATGAGGGTTCGAGTCCCAAATATGGGGTGAGAAGTTTTCCCCATGCCGGAGGCACATTCTCACAACTTCTCACCTACGAAGCTCTATCAAAACAACTGTTAAAAATCAAAAACAAGCCTAAATTAATACCAATAATCATAATTTGCAGATGTGGTCATTGAAATCGGTCGAATGGCGGCCACAGACTTCATAAGAAGCTCGACAAGCAGCTTCTTGTTGCATTTATATATTTTTCTTTGTTCATCACTTACTACTTATTAAGTACCAGTATATTGTTTTAGTGTAATCCTCTTCTGCATAGTGCCTGCCTTTAATCAAATGCTAGTACATAACGATTCTTTATCAACAGCATTAATTCATTGCCATTAAATGTGACTTTAACATTCTAGCCATGGCTTGCCTTATTATTATTTCGCGTATGTGGGTTTAACCTATCGGTGGTGACGCAATGTGATGTGATTTTTTTTTTTTTTTTTTTGTCCTTTTTTTCTCGTTCTTGTGAATTCTCGGAGAAGCCCTTCAGGGGAACTCTTCCCAGAAAGGCTTAGGAAAGGCGAAGTAGAGGTTATAGCGAATCTCTGAGAGTTCACACGCATTGTTTGCCTTGATGAATCGTGCCTTTGAGGGCTCAAATCGACTTTTGAAATTCCATATTTTCGCACATTTTTTCAACAGTCCACGTATTTTCTGTGCTCGTTGTGTGTGCGTGTGGGGATTTCCCAAAGTGGTTTTGAATCCTTCAGTCACTCAGCCATAACAATTAAACGACGTATAGTTTCGTATATGATTTTGCCTCTAACTCTATTATAAATTACTTTTTCATTGTGAATTTTGCATTACCCTTGAAAATGTTGACAGATCCTGTGTTGTAACCTGCTCTAGATCTGGCGCCTTTCGCATTCGAATCTGCCCTGTTTTTTGTGTTTAACTATTTTTTGTAGTAATATTTTTGCGTTTCTATTGGTTTGTCCTAGACAAATAGCACCTAATCTCCTTAATTATAGAAGATGTAGCAGCAGGCTACATAAAGAAACGCTTTATTCTGACGCCAACGTTGACATTTTTACCATGTTGTTGTGATAAATATTTGCTTCCGATGGTGCTTTCTGGCGTATCCGCGATTGCGCGGCATTAATGCTAGGGAAAAGAAGAAGAGGAGAAGTGCTGTTCTAGAGGAAAGTGAAGAAATATTTGCATCAAGAATGAAAACAAAAATTCTCATAAGGGGGTGTAGTACTACATGAAACGATGCCAAAAGGACGCGATTCCTATGGTCCGTTAGTCGCAAATTCAACAAGGAGGGTCGTATATCCGACGAGGGGAATATGGCACATAATGGTAGAGTTCTTGAAATTAGCACTGTATTTTGAAGGAGAGTACTCGATTAAACTCAAAAAACTCCGAGAATTTCGTATTTTGCCATTTAAGCAGGTCTGACTGACGGATGGAGATGTAAGGTTATTCTCGGAGGACCGTCGTCTATTGAGTGAAGTCTAGGCCCTGGTTAGTGACGAATAGAGGCCTCTACAACAACTGCGATGCTGTAGAAAAGGTCAGGCTCATTCGAACCACATTCGTGCCGTGACTGTTGGCGCAGTGACTGCGTCGGCTAAGAAGAAACGCACTTTCTGTGCTACAGGTGCACGGACTCGGATACCCGCATTGCCCACATGATGAAAATGAAGACAAAAGTATTGTAGCTGGGCAAAGCAGAGATCGGATCGAATGTTCATAGGTTACACTGATGGAAAGTGCACGTAACCAAGTTCTTACAAACAAACAATTTCGCGCTACTGCACATATTAGAAATGGTTAAATAAATAAGAAGAAGAGGTGGTGAGATAATGTAATCGTAAAAATCGATAGTTCGGTTATTTCTGTGCCTTATGTAGAAACCAGTACCAACTAATATCAAGCAGGGATAGTATAAAGCATAATAGTGATTTAAATATTCAAAATCGGTACTGAAGAGGTGTTGCCATGGAGTAGTCCTTTAATAAATCGCCTTTCCCTGAAAATGGTACGCGGTTTTGAACTATTACACGCCGTCATACCCAGGGCCGTATGCTATCCTCCCCGAAGGGTTGGGGGACGAAAAGTCCTTTAAATTTTCTCTGTCTTCCCATCTGGGATTGCCCTGATAAAGGACCTACATTTAATGTATATGTATGTAGGTAAAAGTAAACATGCACTGAAAATGAAGAAACTATATCGTTCAAAACAAATAAATTTAAAGGAAACTTTGGATCACTTAGCTTCGGGGAAGCATACGGCCCACAGTGGGTCGACGTTGCACTACCTGAGTAAGCTCCAAACAAATAACAAATAAGTAATAATACAAACAAAAACCCAAATAGTAAAGCATTTTGATGACAAATGAACAAATAACGATAAACCAACACCAATAAGCAATCCCAAATCTATACGCACCTTTATTTTGAGATTTGAATTTTTTGTTCGCTAAACTAAAACCATGCGCTCAAGTAATACTAAAAAAACACAGGCATTATTGTCGTTTTGCAAACTTCCTGTATCTTACGAAGTTATACGAATATTTGATGGAACATTCATTTCAATGGCCAAACGTTTCGACTGATCGTCGTCCTCATGTGCCGAAGATTCCACCGTATGAGCGGAAAAGTTCGTTGCCGCACTAGAGCGCTGTCACCTGTTGGTTTTTTTTTTAATATTAGCAGTAAACATTTATGTAAGAACTTAATCGGAGACAGGTTGATGTTCACAAAAAACATAATAAAGGATAAAGGATAAAGCATTTGCCGTTGATCAATCCCTTTTTGGGATGCGGCACGCATTCTACTTCCATTTGTACATTCGCAGTGGCATTTGAATGCGATGTGGCCTATACAATGACTTGCGGGGGCCAGCCGATGTTCAAGTCAGTGTTTTTTATCCTCCCAGACAAGTCTGGTACCAATTAACCGACCCCGGAGGGATGGAAGGCTTGGTTGGCCCGGGCGACTCACGACCCAGGATTTGATCCCCGGACCGCTCGCGTGGTAAGCGCGCCACTTGTCACTACACCACTTCCGCCCTTGAGCCATAATAGAGAATGGAATATTAGATGAATAAAAGCATAATAGATCAATAAAAACACTAAGCAACAACATGCAACAAGAATAAGAGCTAGCATGACCTTCACGAGCGCTCATTGTCAGCACCACTAAACTGCAATCAAACTTTGGAGACGACAAATACAGCACTGAAATGTTTTTGACATCGAAAAGGAAGTTTTTAATCGTTCAAAAGCAAAACACAAATAGCGGTTGGACATATGTATACTCTATTTCGGAAGACGAGAAGAAAATCGAGTGCAGACCACACATCATAAGAGACGACGGCCAAGAAAAAAGCGGCTTTTCCCTTGCCGTCGTCTCTTATGGTGTGTGGTCTGCACTCGATTTTCTTCTCGTCTTCCGAAATCGAGGGTATGTACATAAGAAAACTCCACCATGTTCTGCCTTATCTCTCGAAACTGGAGCCAATGAAAGTTAATGAAAGTCAAAAGAATCGTCCACGGAAAAATCGTGATTCCACTATCTATCTCAACCATCACCTTTGGCTCGAGACCCATCATTCACGATAAGAACGAAAAGAACAAAAAATTGTGTTTGTTTCCGTAAACAATTCGAAAAACCGAAAGACTGTTGCGCGTTCAAATACCACCGTACATCTGTCACAAATGATGCTGACGGGGAAGATTCCACTTGGTTCTCGGATTGCACTTCTTTCCAGGCGTTCCCTTGTCTTTTTGACCTTTTGCGACTATGGTAATCGCTTTCTGACTTTCTTCGAAATCGAAAACATTAGCCCGACATTTTTGATGCGTCGCCTGGTACGTGGCCGCCCCAAGGCGCACTTCTTTCCATGCGTTCCCTTGTCTCCGCCCGACCTACCCGCGACCGTCCCAGGTGTGGTTTTCGAAAGTTTGTTTCTTTTCGGAAACTGAATATTCTTACGTGTACGTTGTCTCTAGTGATAACAACTGAAATAATCATGCTGAGAAAGAATGCTAAAATTTTCTACAGACGATCTTTATGGATATACTATACAAGACGGTGCCGAAGTTGTACATAGATTGGTGATTTGTCGATTGCTATTAATCGCGAAAGGCAGCACGCAATTCACTGCGTTTAACCTTCCCACTGCTCGTTTTGGGTAATTCGTTGACAATCTCAACTCCTCCACGAAGTTGCTTGGCTGGCGCGACCTTGGCTGAAAGCACTCAATTATAGGTTCAAGCTCAAATACACAGTATTTCTCACGACCACAAATGCATAATAGTAATCAATGATCTAACATATAAGTTGCATCATATAGCATCAAAAGCATCAGAAAACACACGTGATATCTTGTTTTTGTTTGTTTTTGTAAAACACGTGATATCAGCTCTTTGGACGTCGTTACCGTGGGCCATATCCTGTCCCTCCCCAAGGAGGACGCGTCCCCCGTCGCAGATTCTGCCCCAAGGGTTAGGGGAGACAGATTTGCGTCATAGACCATTCATACTCTGCGTTTCTAGATTCCAGACAGCGCGACCCCTCAACGGAAAGAGTGACTCAACAGGGAGAAGGGGAAGGGGTAGCTATAACATCACGCGTTCAAGGCGGGTCCTATGACGCAAACGTGTCCCTCCTAAACTCAGGATAGGATCAGTGGGATGCGTCCTCCCTGAGGGAAGGATGGATACGGCCCCATGTGCGGGAAAAAAATTGTTTTTGGTACACTGTGGAATCGCTACTCACCTTTTGACAAGATCGATGATGCGCTTTTCTTGCATTTACGTGATCTGTGCCTTCTTCGAGCACTACGAATGCCTTGGGTACCTGACCGCTCTGGGGATGTGGAATGCCAATCACTCCCACCTCTCGAACGCACGGCTCCGTCAGAATTATGTCCTCCTTAAACAAGTAGTACACAGTTATAGCATTTGCTGATGCTGATGTGAGGATACAGAAGCAAAATCACTGCGGAAATTAATTACCCTAATTTCCGGTAGATAAGCCCGCGCCGATTTCACGTAAAACACCTCCGCTCGTGCAGTGTAATTTTGTACACCTTAGAAACTACCGTAAATTTGCCTATAGAGGTAATTCGATGCCCTGATTACGAAAATGACTTTCATTTTTAGCGGTGGCGCCATCTGGCGCCAGTTGGCGTCACCTTGTCACGACACCTGTTTTCACCAAATTTGGTGTAAACTTCCGTATAGGGGTTATTTGGTGTCCTGATTACGAATATGACATTCATTCTCGGCGCTGGCGCTATTTGGCGCCTATTTTCTGCTCGTCTGCGCTCTCCAACCGAGAAATATGCGTTGAACAACGTTAATGCCAAAAACGAATGTCATATTCGTAATCAGGGCACCAAATAACCCCTATACAGAAGTTTACACCGATTTTGGTGAAAACAAGGGTCGTGACAAGGTGACGCCAACTGGCGCCAGATGGCGCCACCGCTAAAAATGAATGTCGTTTTCGTAATCAGCATATCGAATTACCCCTATGGGCAAGTTACGGTTGTCTCTAGATGTACGCAAGTGCACTGCACCAGCGGAGGTGTTTTTACGTGATATCGGCGCGGGCTTATCTACCGGAAATTAGGGTAAAAACGTCTCCTTATGTAGATCCCTCAGAATGAAACCCTTGAAACATAAAGAAGGGCAGGTAGAAGGTTTCCAAACAAGTGGAGATTGCTCATAGAGAAGACGAGAAAAGTCACCCACCAATTCAGAGGGAGAAACTTGTACACCATTCACTTTTATGAGGTCTTTCACTCGATCGACAACAAAGTAGAAATCGTCCTCATCGAAATACAGTATGTCTCCTAAAAATAGTGAAGGATAAAAAGGATAAGCATTCGGCGACGACCAATCCCGTTTAAGGACAATTGGCTAATGTGTCGCAATCTATGGGTAACCCCATGATGTGTGTGTTTTGCTTCTTTCTAGAGCCTTACTTTATTATTCAACTAAACTAACAACTTCCTCAACC